ACCAGATAGATAGACTAAACACTGGACTTTAAAATGAAGTAACAACAGAAAATAGGCACAAAACTTACAACTGGAATGAGCTAAAGGGCTCTGACAACGTTCTGCACCCCATGTGACTCCTACTTCCACCCAGCCTATGAACCACAGCTACAAAACCCGCGCAAATTGTTAAATAAACTGGGGGAGCTGGGGATATTTATTCCAGGAAAGCATGAAAGGTGGTCAGAATTCTCTGTTCAAAAGGGAAAGCACTCAAGAAGTAAGGCTCTGTAAGAAGCATCTGGAAATAAAAATACTTAGGGATAAAAAATAAATTTGGGTTTCTTCTTGATAATATTTTTCAGAAACTTCCCCCAAACCCCACACCAGCAGAAGTACTTGACCTCACAAAGCACTTGGGGATTTTTTTCAGGGGAGGGTGGCAGTGTCCTCTGGTGACAGCAGCCCAATGCTGGATCACAGAGCAGATGCTCTCCATCCCACCCGCCCTTCGCTGTGCCCTGCAACTCCTGTTCCTATTACTTGAGCAAACTCTTCCATAATTCTGCTTTACTTTTTCTTCTTAGTAACTTCCTGTTTGTTCTCCTGATAAATACCAGAACTTCAGCTAAAAATGGAGAAGTCGCCTAGATTCTCTTATCTGGTAAACCCCCAGCCTTGGTGTGCTGCGGTTGGGTCCTGGCAGATCGCGCAACGGTCAGAGATGCTGGGCTGGGCTCTGCTCTGTCCTTCTGGCAGCACTTACTGCCCCCCACACAGACACAGCAGCAAAGAGCTCTGCCCCACCAGCTTCTGCCATAGGGTTCATTAATTTACACCCCTATTTGTCTTCCCAGACCAGACACTCCATGAAGAAGTGTGGTAGGAGCAAGGCTGCTTTTTCTAATATGGAGTCCATTTCGGCATCTTCTTCGAGAGATGCTGACAAGGACTTTTGATTTTCAACAATGTTTGAAGAAATCAGTCACTCAAGTAAAGCGGGAAACTTGCCCTTTTTTGAGCAAGTGGTCTTCCCTCATCAGTTTGTATAGTACAGAAGATTAAAAATAGCTCTTCAGCTGGGGTACAGCTGCACAGCTTAATTTAAATGGAGCTGCAGTGACTCACAACAAGCAAACATCTGTATATGGCCCTTTACTACTGCAAACCACATAACGCTAACAGCAAGTAAACACTGGCAGCGCATTCAGAGGAGCTACCGCTGCTGTTCCACACTGGTGTGACAAACAATGGGACAGCGATTTGAGGAGAAGTTGCAATTAGCTGTGTGTTAAAATTCCCATCTCCTCCTTCTTGTCAGCACATGAGCAATGTGTCTTCTCAATAGCACTGGACTCTTATTTCATTAGACATTCTCTAGGCCTTCTTCTATGTTGTTTTTCCTTTCATTGTGACTTTTTGCATTGGCTGTGTTAAGTCCTTTGTTTTCAAGGCCATGAAACCGCTCCTTCCTTCCACCTCCCCCAATAAATAAGCAACAAATAACAACAGTCAGTGATCAGATATATTTCCCCATGAGAACTACCAAGGAGCCAGCTATTCAATGCTGACATTACAGAATTGAGATGGATGTACTCAGTACCAATATAAGGAACTGTGAAACCCATCAAATTTGAAGCAGATTCCCCCATCACATCTAATTTCCTACAGAGGTTGATATTCACTGATCCACTAAGATCAACAGCAAAATCTTCAGTGAGTTTTCCTCCTGTGGGGCTGAATTCAAGCTATGACTGATACTTAACATTTTTGGTCTAGAGCAGAATGGACTTTACCTATATCACCACCACTTCTTAGTTTTTGTGAGCAGCTTCTTCCTCTCTGTCTCCTGCCCCATACGCAGCTTCCCCCCAGCTCTGGCTGTTCCCTGGCACCCCTCAGGCCCAGCAGACCTGGTCGGTGAGAAAAGCTGGAGCCAAGTGGGGAAATGAAAGCAGCCCAGCTTTCGGGTCACACTTAGAGGACAAAGTGCTGCAGCACACACCAAATACTCTCCTGGGAGACTCCTTGCACAACAGCCTCTATAGATAGGCTGACGTGGTGGTTTCATGGTTCAAGTATCAGATGGAGAGAAGAGCATTGTCCATGCCATTAAATCACTATTAGAGTATTTGCCTGATGTAGCAAAGCTCCCTGTGCTTTCTAACGGATTCTTTGTGTTTAGCATTAAGCTCTCTGTTTTTACAGAAAGTTACACTGGGGTAATTAATCTCATGTTCGTTTCCTGCACATGCAAGACAGCAGCCTTTGTTAGGGAATGATAAGACACTTCTAAGAATAGTGTTACTAAGAGCATCGGCTTCGTAAGACATTACAGGAAAAATATAGACTCTTAACACCTGCTTTTCACTTTCAAAGTTTTGAAAATAATGTTCTGCTTACCTAGAGGCAAATTCTGACTTGATAATGCATAGAAAACCTAATTTCTTTCATCAGAGAACAAATATAGATGAAGGTATAGTTTGGTATTTAGGGTCCAGTCTTGGAAAGAATAATTTGTTTAATTTTATAAACACTTCAAATATTCCCAGTGGCTTCAGTGGGACTATTGCAGTTCCCAGTCTCAGAATCTGAATTAATTGCTTTTTCTGATCTTTTAACCACATATTCCACTGAAATTAAATGGATTTTCTTAGTTATAGATGTAATAGATGAAGGATTAAGAATTTATCTGTGTGTAAAGCACTGGACCCTCAGGTCAGACTTTACAAAGGCCGGATGCTAAACTCAGGAAAATGTAAACTGGGAGACAAGCGCATGAAAGCAAATGAGGCTGGGCAGCGTCCGAGAGGTGCCACGAGCAGCCGGCCAAGCGGGCACCCGGAGCTCCCTGCAAGCGCCGGCTCAGCCCATGGGCTTCTCCAGCTGAGCACAAAGGGTGGTGCTGAACTCGGGGATTTATGTATGTTGTCAGGTTAGAACCAGAGCCAACACCGTTCTCCTGTAAGCGGTTGACACTTGACACCTACTGAAGTCAGTTTAAACAGGCATTGTTTTAAAGCTCTGTTGTTTTTAAGCAGTCACTGTGGTTCAGCCTGAGCTATCTGCTGCCCCAGTGCAAGATGCACAGCTGCCGTGCTGGTGAAACTCTACGAAAAATAGGGAAGAAGTAGTTTACAGCAGGTGAGAGACGATTTCCATTTGGTTTGTAGCATCCACCAGTCATATGAGAAAGGACATTAAGCTTTGTTGTACTTGCACCGGACTTCTTTCTGCTTTATTATGGACAAATAATACATCTTTATCCTTATCCTCCTAACCAGAAAACAAAGCTTAATCTGCAGAGATCTGGCCGATCTAATGGTGTTTGGAGAATAACATAGACCAAATTTCCCCTGGTTTTGTAGTGCAAAATCTGAGCAGAGCAGACTGCAAGTAGCCTTGCGAGCTGATCAGAGCCCCTGTTGTGACTATTATCTTGACTGTATAATGGGGGCTTTCAAACCCCAGCTTTATCACACTCTGTTTTCTCTACTTTGCCCTTTTATGAATATTGAGTCATCAAAAATAGCTTCACTGACAGAGTTACTAATGATACCAGCTGGGTGAATCAGTGGCTCTTACACTGTGCCTGCCATACAGTGCTATTAGTACACTCATTACAAAATATAGCAAAAATGAGATGCCCATAATTTATTTGCAGCTCCCGTGAGACACATCATAATGGTTATTTTAGAATTGGAAAATGCTAACTGAACAAAACAAATATTCAGCCGCTTCAATGCAATACTGTGGTCTACAGGAAGAAACTCTGGTTAGGAATAAGTTAAAAATAATTCCAACATCAGTAAATTATCTTTTCTGCTAGCTTTTAGCCAAAGAAAAAAATACACTGCCAAATGATATCCACCATATTCTTCCACAAGACAATTATGCCTCATATTACCGGGAAAAGCTAACATCAGCACTCCAGAGAAAATGCTGATAAACAGAAGTGAATACGACAAATGATGTAAGCTGTGCATACGGCTCGGAGCGCCAGAGACACGGCCAGCGGCATCCTTCGAGTACGGTGCACAGCTCCAGGGCAAGTCAGGTTAGAAGGGCATGACTCAAACGGGTATTACCGATTCCAAAAGTGTCTCAGCAGAACATAACAACATGCCTGATGAAGAGCCACCACAAATGAGTATGCAAAATGGCCCAATGAGGGGTTTATATTGTTAATGGTGTCCCAAGCAAAATTTTAAGGGCCATTTATTCCTACCCGGAGTGCTTTCCTAGCAGCCCTGCAATGAGACAGTTTCCTATGTTTCCCACACACATCCTTTTTCTTTTTCTTTTTTTTTTTTTTTTTTTCAGACAAACAGGCAAGCAGATAGAGAACGAAACAAGGGGCCCATAGTGCAGTTGCAGATCTCCATGCAGGGCTCGCTTCTTCTCCCCAGCCCCCTTCACCTTTCATCTACCAGGAACTTTACAGCACAGCATCTTCCAGCACCTCTTTATCACAGACCAAAAAGCTTTCTGAAGCTTTCTGCTAACAACAGCATCTGGCATTGGTAAATAAAACTATTGTATATATTACCTTTAGCAAGTGTCATAGAAATTACAGAGCATCTTAATAAAGCCAAGCCTCAGAATTTAAATTACTAGAATTTTGGCTGTTTGGGTTTGGGCTTTCCACCCCCCCCCCCCCCCTTTCCTTTCAGGATGTTCTTGTCGGTCCCTGGAAAAGTGACATCTGCAATTCTATTACAACAATTCTGTTAGTTACGGCAACGTTAACTGAAACCGAAATGTGGTTTTTAACCTAAAATATGTTGCATAACAGCTCAAGTACTATATTCTTACGAGCCGAGAAAGGTTAATTCCAGAGGGTACAAGAATATCGGAGGAAACTAAAATACTCCATAAGCGCATGGACTTGGAATTCTTTTTGTTTTGGTCCAAGGCGAAGCCGAAACGGGCGAGAGATTTCAAAGGAAGAGTCAGACAGCGAGCACATGCCGAAATCCCCTTAGCGAGAAAAAAAATATCAGCAAAGCCTCTGCACTTACGTATCTCTTGAGTTTCTTCTCGGGGGGGGATTTGATGAGCCATCCAGTGCAAACCACGTCCCCCGAGCTCATCTTCCCCCCGGGCGCGGAGCGGCGGAGCGGGAGCCAGGGTGCGGGCTGCCGGTGCGGGTGTACTTGTTATGGGCGGCGTGTCCGTCCGGGCGGGCGTGTGCGCGGGGATGTGAGGGAGGGTGTGCGGGATGTGAGGGAGTGTGAGCGGGATGTGAGTGTGTGTGTGAGCGGGGATGTGAGTGTGCGTGTGCGGGGTTTGAGTGTCTGTGTGTGAGCGGGATGTGAGTGTGTGTGTGTGAGCGGGATGTGAGTGTGTGCGTGCGGGACGCGTGTGCCCGGCTGTGCGTGTGTGCGTGCCGTGTCCGCCCGAGTGCGCGCCGCTGTGCGCGGCCGTGTGTGTGTGTGTGTGTGTGTGTGTGTGTGTGTGTGTGTGTGTATTGTTCCCAGCCAGTTCGCACCGCAGCAATCAGCTTCCTTCAGCTGCGCTCCGCTGCGGCTCCAGCCCGCGGAAGAAGTCATGACATTGATCACTGACACGGCCAGCCCTCCCTCCGCCGCCAGCACAATGCAACATACCGAGCACGTGATGGGCGGCCGCGGCTCGCCGGCTGCGGCACCCCCGGCAGCGGCGGCGGCGGCGGGCGGCTCCCGCGCCCCATCGCCCCGCACAGCGCGGCCCCGCGCCCCGGGGATGCCGGCCGCCCATCCCCGAGCCCCGCGGATGCCGGCCGTCCCTGCCCGGAGCCCCGGGGATGCCGGCAGCCCCTGCCCGCAGCCCCGCGGATGCCGGCAGCCCCTGCCCGGAGCCCCGCGGATGCCGGTTGTCCCATCCCGGAGCCCCGCGGATGCCGGCAGCCCCTGCCCGGAGCCCCGCGGATGCTGGCCGTCCCATCCCGGAGCCCCGCGGATGCCGGCCGTCCCATCCCGGAGCCCCGCGGATGCCGGCCGTCCCATCCCGCAGCCCCGCGGATGCCGGCAGCCCCTGCCCGGAGCCCCGCGGATGCCGGCAGCCCCATCCCGGAGCCCCGGGGATACCGGCAGCCCCTGCCCGGAGCCCCGCGGCTGAGCCGTGGGAGCGGCGGAGTGTCCGCGGAGGTCCCCGTGGGGACCCGGCACGAGAAGGGCTCTGGCCGCAGCGGGAGGAAAAACCAGGGCCCGTGGGGCCAGTCCCCACTGAAACCTCCACTACAGCTTCCAACATCTAACAAGCTTCGTTAGTCTGTGGATTTAGTGCTTTTCCCGGTAGCATTTAGCCCCATGTACAAATTGACTTGATTTTTCTGTCCGATTTTTCTGCCCTCATCATCACAGATTTTTTTGAAACATACTTTTTCAGAAAGTGACTTCAAGGAGACTGCCACTCCACTGTCACAACTGAAAAATACGCCCACAGAGTGCATAGTATTGCTGATATCCTTGTAGTTTGTGCCTCTTTCCAGGGTGGGAAACTCTTGCCTTTTCAAGGACAGGGCAATCTGTGTTCATTTTTCAGAAGACTTTGTAAACTCTTGACTTATTTAAAGAGGACGCAGTGGTTCTTCACTGATTTAAGGAGTCTGTAATTTCAGAGGAGTCTCCTGTGCCCCTGGCCAGGCACAGCCCTGGCAGTGCAGCCTGACTCTGCCAGGTGTGATAGCACCAGCAGGCCCAGAGCAGAATTTAGTGTTTTCACAGAATTTTTCAGGTCTCTGCCGGGGCTCTTTGGCAGGGCAGGCTGACAACAGCTTGCAGTGTCACTTCTTGAATCTCACAAACTAGAAATGTGTTTTTCACGTTTTCAAGCAAAAAGGTGATTGCAATACATGTTTATTATATTTAATATAATATGTGCTATAAATGACATAACTGTATAAACATAAGCCCTACGTAAATTCACATAAAAACATAAATAAATCTGTACAAACTCATAGATTCCTGTTGCTAGTGCTTTACATTATCACTGGTCTCAAAGGAATCCTACGATAAATGAAAACTGTCACGAAAAAACTATAAACATATTTCAAATGTGCTCTGACTTTTTTAGGTATGTTTTTGTTTGAGAATGGCTTTCATGCAGTCTTACAGTATTATTTAATTCCCAACCTTCTATTCTACTACCACCTTCACTCAGCTCCATTTATCCATTACCCACAGTGATGTTTTAACAACTTCACATGTTTAATAGCAGGTTTGTTAGCAAGGCTTTGCAACACTTCTTCCTGAAGAGATATATCGAGCCATGGAACTTATTTAGGGAAAGAAAGTCACACTTTCCTTCCATATGTGACTTGCCTGTGTCACCCTGACAGATACAGTAGCTTTAAATGAAAGGCTTTAAAACGTCCAAATGTCAAAATAAAGTGACTTGGGATACACTTCATGTGTTATCCCTGCACTGTCCTAACATTATCCATTTTTTACTGGCTCATGCTTCAGACAGATGGCTTCCCTTGTGCAGCTGCAGAGCGTTTGCAGAAAGGCAGCAGAGGGAATGGGGAGGGGACAGGACAGGGGAGAAAGGAGCCTGGGCTACCAAGTGAATTCAAACATTGACTAGCAGACCACACCTTAGGGAGAGCTCTGGCTCTGTCTTTGCTGTGGTCAACGATAATGCTGCTTAAATCACCAGCAGTCCCCATCCTTGTCCTTGCACTTCTGCCATCAGCTCCACTGTGCAGACGTGGTGGATTTGTGTGTCTGCATGAGGAACTGAATCACAAACCTGACTCTTTGGAAAAGAATGAGTCAAAAAAAGAGAGAGATTATTTTCCAGCTGTATCAGGACTAGTTTCCTGATCTGATAGATGCTGTGGCCTGCAATAGCACATACCTTATCACGGGAGGGGGTGATGCAGGGGCAATAAGAAGAAATCAGCAGTTGCTTAAATTGGCACTTCTGCCCAAAACCCGCCTGCTGAGTGGTAGCCATGGTGACAGGGAGGGGTGCAGTGATTCTCTTCCCTGCTCGATGTGTCACTCCTCTGTCAGAGGCTCCTGTCCTCTGGAACTGCTGGAATGGCTCAGCTGCTGGCGAAGCACCTGCCCGGCCACTTGCACTCAGCACATTCAGAATAAATAACATCTGTGCCAGCTTACTTATGGTGCCAGTAGCCTGAGGAGAAATACAGGAAGCCATAATTAAGCAGAGAATGTGGGGGTTAACGTGTTTGTTATGAAAGCTGCTGTTGCCTTCTTGGTATTTGTGCTCCAAACATTAAAAGAGCAAATAAAGTTATTTTCTTACACTGACAACTTTCATTGTGCTGATAATGTAGCACAATGCATGTATGTGTTTGACAATAACAGGCTTAAAAATTAATGGTTTCTCATCCTGATGGAAGAAGTGGGATTTCACTTTTCTCCCGATCCATACACAAATTTTTCAGCCACATTTAAATAATGAAATTATTTTCTTAAATCCATCATCATGATGGTGAATGACAGGGTCTTTGTTTTAAAAAAATACAATTGAAGACATATGTAGAGGGTGAACTGATGTTGGAAACAGAATGGAAAATTCTCAATTCTCTCTTCTACTGCTGAACAGGTTTTTTCCCCTTCCTAAGTACATTATCCCAGAGGTGCTACTGCTGTCATGGAGCAGCTTGGCCTTGGCCAGTGGCATGTCTGTCTTGGAGCCAGCTGGTCTTGGCTGTGTTGGACACGGGGGAAGCATCTGCCAGCTTCTCACAAATGCCACCCCTGCAGCCCCTCTGCTGTCAGACCTTGCCACACAAACCAACACCGCCCTCACCAGACTAACCTCATATGTGCCTCTAGCAAAGATCAGAGCAACCATGATCAGTTTGACCCTGGATGTGTCTGCAATTCCCATCAGCCAGATCCCTAAGAGAATTCTCTGCTTGTCATGGAAGTAATGGTGTACTCCTTTCATTTCCTAACTTAGGCTGCTGATGTTTCAGAGGACAGCAACACTAATAAAGCAGAAGAGAACAAAATGGCTGCTTGCATTGATGGGAAACTCCTTCATGACTTGACAGACCACTGACAGAAGTTAAGTCTGCTATTTAAGCTTATCAATTTCTGTGTTAACAGTAACTGGTGCTGTTATCATTAATATTGACAGTAGTGAAAGTTCCTATTTCCTTGTGCATAAATGGATAATCGGAATGGAGAGGATGGAAAAAATCAGAAGGATTTATTTTATTCACAAATTTATAGGTATAAAAGGAGAAAGAGATGCCAGAGTTTATCTCAACTGACATTTCCACAAGCAGATAGTTTCCGGGAATGTAGCCTCACATTTAATTTACAACACCACACAGGCGCTGAGAAGGTTGAGGTGCTTGCAAGAGGCAGCCATAGCCCTGGGAGAACAGCCTTTTTCTCTCATCTAGCAACTGATCCCTGTTTACATATGGAACTCGCACCACACTTACTCAGCAGAACGCTAACATGCCTCTGCAGCATTCTCTCAGCAAGCAGAAAAGCCCAGTGCCACAAAAAGACATGACACAGTGTATATGTTCCAGCTGTTCCTGACAGTTACCACTCTGCTCCCCCCTGCAGACAAGTATTTCACTCTCTCTCTCTCTCCATTCACAAGGACAAATTTAGCAAAGTCACGGGATAATTCAGCCCCTGCTCTTCCTTTCAGCAGCCTGTCCTCACCATACAAATCAGGTCTAAAGGAGGAATGCACTCAGATCCACAGTCACGATTTATTGCTGTTGTTTAAACAATTAACTACCAAAACTGGAGCCTGACCACAGCCCCAGGGCGATGCTGACCCATCTGCACTGTGCTGTTTGATTGATGAATTTATTCTGCCTGGTTCGTGCTCTGTCACCCCCAGGACCTCGGTGGCAGTGACACCCCATGGGCAGACACCTGATGTCAGAGCAGGAGCCACTGTGAAAAGAAAAAAAGGACAGCAGATGAACGTTGCTGTGGTTTTGCTCCAGGAAGCTATGAACTATGTAAGCTGCATGTGGGGACGGCCTTTATTGTTGTGGACAGGGCAGAATCTAATTTTACCAAAAGCTCTCATGACACATAGGGAGAACTCTGTCAATCCATTTCAGAAAACAGACCAACGCCCTCTGGCACCAAACTCCTCTGTGAAACAGCAGCAGACATCCAGCATCTCATAGGAAAGTCTCCTGTTTAGGAAAGTAGCTGGTGGAAGACTGGAGTTCTGCTGAGTAGTACATTTATTTGCAAATGTAAAACTGTCTTTTCCTGAAGTGGGAGTGGCAACAAACAGGTTCACTTTAGTTCAAACCTCTTCCCTGGCTCTTTTGCCAGATGAGAGGTTTCTCTCTTCTCTGTCATCCACAAAAGCACACACTAAATATTGTGGATTTTCTATTTTTCAGCTTCTGTTTGCAGACTAGTAAACAATTTTATGATGGCTACACAGGTGATGAAGTAAGTCATGGCTGTTCCTTTCCACATGTGAATCAGTAGCAAACATTTTGTGAGGATTTCCTCACAGGGTAATGGTATTACTGGCCCCTCAAGGTCGGCAAATAATCTTTGCAGTTGAGGGAGGAGATACAAAGACTTTCTTAAAGATCCAAAATTTCTATCATAATTGTTCTAATTACTTT